AACCATGGAGTATTTACCTAATCTGTTTCTCTCTTTATTATTAATAACGAGATTTGAGAATTTAGATTTCACACACAAACCTTTAGTTATCCTACACGGTGTTACCTAATGCACCGGCCCAACATGCGATTTGTCACCGTTCTCATTTGGGTTTTGTTTTATTGAGACTTGATCATACTTCACATAGTGAATGGTTAATATTAAACATTGCTACTTATTTTACTACATTAGGTCTCACACTTATGTTATGTTATGGGGCTTTTGTATCATTTCCTTTTGGAATTCTTTGTTTTATAAACACAGTGGAAAGTATTGATGCTGGCAAATAAGAAAAGCTATTATAACTTACAGGGATTCCCCCCTGTTCAGCTTCCATCTGCACAGGCGAAACGCCACAGCTTTTCAGTTGCCTGCAACTATACCTTATGTTCATTCTGGAGTTTTTATCTTTTCATAAAAAATGCATTTTTCCTCCTAAATGAGTATCTATTATGCCAATATTGTTCATTTTTTAAAAAAATAGATTATATTTAACATTTCTATTCTGGTTTTATTTATTATTTCTTAATTTTGTATGAGTGAATTATTGCTTGTTAAAGCAAGGGGACTAACAACACTCTTTTGTTAAATTTGGAAATTAGGCCTGGTCTACCCTAACCCCCCAATTCGAACTAAGGTACGCAACTTCAGCTACGTGAATAACGTAGCTGAAGTCGACGTACCTTAGTTCGAACTTACCGCAGTCCAGACGCGGCAGGCAGGCTCCCCCGTCGACTCCGCGTACTCCTCGCGCCGAGCAGGATTACCGGAGTCGACGGGGAGCACTTCTGGCTTCGATTTATCGCGTCCAGACAAGACACGATAAATCGAACCCAGAAGTTCGATTGCCTGCCGCTGAACCAGCGTGTAAGTATAGACAAGCCCTTAGACTCTTTAATGAAAGAATATACCAGCTGCAGGCCAGCACTAAACTCTTCTGTATTAATTTTTGATATTCCATAATTTTTCAGGCATACATCTGTATAAAGTGTTGCTAAATCCACTGCTAAAATATTGTGTCCATTTCTGCTATCCACACCATAAAAATGATGTTGAAAAATTTTTAAGGATTCAGAGTCACCAGAATACCTTTATAATGAAAGACTAAAGGAATGCAACATGTTTACCTTATAAAAGACGTTAAAGGGCAACTTGATCACCATCTATAATTATCTATACATGGATAAGATAGCTCAAGCTAAAGAGCTAATCTAGCAGACAGTCATAACAGGATCCAAGACTGGAAGCTGAAATCAGCAAAACAAGAAACAACTTTTTAACACTGAGGGTAGTTAGCCATTGGAACAGATGAGCCAGGAGTGTGGTAAATTCCCCATCACTCAGTCTTTAAATCAAGATTGGATATCTTTCTAAAAGATGTTACTGGGCTAAGACTCCTCTGATCTTAAAAATTACAACTCTATTAAATATGCCATTAATGTGGGCTATGCACTGTATAGAAACTCTCATAGAATTTCTATACATAACACATTCCTCCCCTCCTCACCCACAGGAATGGTTTATAATATCACTATAATAAACTAGAAAAAGAGAATAGACTTCTTCAAATTCTGATGCAGCCTGGAAAGCATTATGCTCCAAAACATAAACATTTCAATAATTATAAATTCAAATGATTGGATAGTTTTCTGGCTTGCACTGCATGTTTGGATTGTTGTGTACTGGAAATTTGTTAATTTAGAGAGTATTTATAACTGGAACTCTCCTAATGTCACAGTGTATTGTGAACCAAAAATCTGAGCACAATCAGATGAGAGATTGAAAAAGCAGAAAAGAATTCAAAGGAGTATGGCAAAGAGACTCTTACGTTTGATAAGGAAGTATCTGTTACCTTTGTGAGGGGGGAGTTAGAAATAAAGAAGAGAAAAATGGGATGAAAGATAGCACTGTACTCTATTCAGTCCATTCGAAATCTTGTCCATACCTTATGTGCCACTTGGCAGCAAAGCCCTTTATGTCACATTTAATCTTAATTATTTGGCATACAAGTTGCACAGCAAGGGAAGATGGCTGCTATACAAAGCTTCTAAACCCCCGTAAGTGGCACTTTAGGAGTCCTAGGTGACTGCTGGCTTCTCATCAAAGTATCTGCCAAGATAGTGTTTCAGTTCTTTCTGCCTCTCTACCTATGAAAAAAGGTCAGGTCACGCTAGTCTTTGTTGTTATCCTTCCTGTTCTGAATTGTGAAAGATCTCCCTCTTTATTCTGCTAAATGGCATCAGATTTCCTGTAATATTTGTTGTATTAACAAATAACTTATTAACCCCCATACTTATGGTCCATCTCCCCCAACCCTTTGTAAACCAATGCACAGGACCCATGTGTCTAGGAATCTGTATAATCTTTGCTACGCTACTCCTGAGAGTTCAAATCCTTACTAAACCTTCAGTCAAGGGATATGAACTTATTACCTTCAAATAGTCTGCATCTGTGCACTCATCCACAACACCATCTGTTAAAGTGGTCAGGATTCACTTTATTGCCTCTTTTGTGGAAGGCCCTGCTCACTGTGAAAAACCAGTGTTATTGGAAACATAATTTTCCTCATCATTATGCTTCTTTCTTGCTGGATCATAACATACTACAAGGCATTTGAGCACAGAGTAAAAAGCTCTTCAGAGTAGCCGTTCTTAGGGGATTAAATGATTACTATCACTGTCCCATTTTTATCTCATAATCAGGTTCAAGATGGTACTACATATCTCTGCTGAAGTGATTATATATTTGAAATAGAAATTGCTTGATCTCCATTTAGGTACCATAGTGTTTAAGACAGACTCATTTCTTTCCATTAATGTTAATATACTTCTGAGTCTTTACAACTGTCCCTTTACTTAAAGACTTGAACTACACTTTAAGCACGAATCTATCAAATAGGTAAGATTTTAGGTTCCTTTATTTACACTGATACTAATAGTATCATTTAGAACAATTGCATTTCACTGACAGTGCATCTGTGGTTAAACAGGCATGAAATGTGGGAGCTAGATGAGTTGCAAGATGGCAGTCCCTATTAACAATGGGCATACTAGGTGCCTTTTTTGTTAGGGGGAATCCCATATCACTGTACATGTTCAGTATGCAAGTCATTTTCTAAATAGCCAGAGGCACGAATTAAAATGTTTTTTCTAGACCACTCAGGGTGGCCCATTTCTTAAATGAGTATAGTTGACCTCCTTGGACAACCACCAGTTTTATCAAGAAGTGCCCCGTCAGTTCCAGATCTGTCAGCTCCTGGGCTCCATCTTCCAAAGCTCCAGATTCAAAACACTTTGGTAGGTCTTTTTCTGCTAAACTTGTAGAAGTAAAGGAGCATCTTCTAAGTCCAGAAACTGATCTTTTCAGAGAACTTCTGCTATGAAGCGGTCTAAATTGCCTCTTCACTCCCATTCCAAGGAGACTCCACAGCCTGAATCAAGAATTGTGGGAGCTTGAAAGGAGCATGGTACCAACTCTTCAGTACTGTATTGAGATAACAAACTGTCTACCTCTGGTACGAAGGCAATAGCCTCAGGAGATAGTGTGGCAATGAGTGCTTCAGTACTGGGTACCGATCACTTTGACAGTTTTAGTCACAGACAATCCTGCATCTTGGCAGGGGATTAGGCTAGATGACTCTTGTGGTCTCTTCTAATCCTGTGATTCTAAGTAAGTAGCACTGATGAGCTACTCTACAGTGTAGAAGTTTATGATACCATCTATCTTGGTACCGGGGAAGTATACAGCATCAAAGGACTGCCAGGTTTTGGAGGAGCTGGAGTCTCCCTTAACTTTCAGTTGAGCTAAACATTCTTCTGGTATGCACACCCACTGTTTCAACAATACAGACCTCCTCTCTGACACCGTCTCCTAGACCTATATTACACCCTAGCACTTCTGTCTCAAGAGCCCCACCTTTAAAGTTAGACTGTTCATATTCATCATTGGACTCAGAACACAGTGGGGAGGGGTCCCCTACTTATTCCTTTATTTTCCCCTTTTCTGCATTTTATGGTCAGAAAAGTAATCTAGGATCTCATACAAGCCTAGATTTCATAGGGTTTATGGAAGTGGTATCCTTCCATGTGGGATCCTACTGCTGTAATGTACCAACATGGCCATATTGGGATCCTGATTGTAGGCATCTTTCCTATGCACCACCTCCTAGAGAGAGATCCTTCCTGTCTGTTCAGAGACAAAAACCTGCGCAGCCACAGATGTTCCCTCATGATTCTCAACCAGCAGAGGAAATTTCTGAGGAGGACCAGCTCCACAATGAGGATATACACGCACCCAGTGGCTATCTCATCCTTATGTTTAGATGGAGGTGATAATTTCTTCCACACGATCTTATCCAGATGACTAGAAGAACTTCCAGGATTTATTGAAATGATAGCTAAAAATGTCAAGATCCCAATAGAGGAAGTGCAAGGTACCTGACATAAATTGTTGGACATTCTCTACACTACTATGCCAGGAAGAGTGGCTCTTCCTATTAATGAAGCTTTATTGGACCTTGCCAAGAATGTTGGATGGACACTGGCAACAGTAAAGGAACTTCAACAAAATCAGACAAATGATACTATGTGGGAGAAGAGTACCTTTTATTCACAGCCAGTACCCGGCTTTTTGGTAATTGTGGTAGCTAACAAAAAGAATACACAGTGCCAGTCAAAGATGTCTCTAGCCCAAAAGGAGCCAAAATGACGATCTGTTTGGTCATAAATGTTATTCCTCTGTAAGCTTATAATTTAGAATGTTATATTATCAGACTTCGCTTTCATGTTATGATTTTCTAAAGTATAATATATTTATGGATTTCTTTGATAAATTGCCACAGGAACATAGGGAGGAATTTAAATGCCTGATTTCACTGGGACAGTTAGTGATACATCTCTACCCCGATATAATGCTGTCTTCGGGAGCCAAAAAATTTTACTGCGTTATAAGTGAAACCGTGTTATATCGAACTTGCTTTGATCCGCCGGAGTGCGCAGCCCCGCTTCCCCAGAGCGCTGCTTTACCGCGTTATATCCGAATTCATGTTATATCGGGTCGCGTTATATCCAGGTAGAGGTGTATAATGAACATCTTTGCAAGCAGCTCTAGATGCTGCTGCTACTGCCTCACAATTTATGGCTACTTCTGTGATCATGAAGCACACATCTTGTCTCCAGAGTTCAGGAATCCCCAGGGAAGTTCAATGAACAGTGGAGAATCTTCTGTTCAAGAGCTCAAATCTATTCAGTGCAAAAACTGATGATGCCTTTCACACTTGGAATGATTCTTATGCCACACTTCGCTCCCGTGGGTATATACACCTGTACACAGAAAGAAAAGAGTAGATCTCACAAATACTGTAGACAGAGGACAGCACCATGCATTTTATTTTATCAGAGATCAATGATCTAGAAAAAAGACTGTGCCACCGGAAGAAAAGACATGGTGCGACAATTATAGCTATATCCTACCCCACAGACACAATCAAACAATCATTTTGATGGGTTGGTTGAGAGTCACAATTTAACCACAATGACAGATCTAGTCCTTTCTTTCCCTCCCTTTGGAAAAGTCTCTACTACTTCCAGGAACTCCATAACAATGGACCGCTAGGTCAGGAACGTTATTTTAGCCGGTTATTTCATACAGATCCATACTGCCCTATCTATTTTAACTCTAACTCAACAATTAGAATTAGTAGTGGTAGTTTTATGCTCCAAGACAGCCCAAGTGTATCTGCCCTCGGATAGATTTGAAACCATGTCCATGCTTGTCATGCAGCTTCATTTAAATCCACAGATACGGTACAGACTTGCTTAAGTCTACTTGGACACATGGCCTGCAGTTTGTCATGTAGCATGATAGACTACACCTACACTAAATGCAGGGTTGACTAAAAATCACTGTATGCACCAAACAGACCCAATTTAGATACAGTTTGTCTCTGCAGATTCCATAAGCTATTCTCTCCTCATTGGACTGGTGGAAAGACCTCAACAAGGTATGCAATGGTGTACCTTTTTCACCATCCCTCCCAATCAGAACTTTATTAACATTTCCATTACTATTGGCTTGAGGTACACATCTAGACCACCATCAACCACAGGACAAATGGACTGGTGAGAAGACTCACTTACATATAAATGTGTTAGAGCTCAGAGCAGTGAACAAGGCTTGTGTCAAATTCTTACTTCTGCTTCAAGGACTAGCTGTCAGTTCTTGATGGACAACACAATTGCCATGTTCTATATAAATAGGCAGTCAAGGGCACGATCATCCCTGCTGTGTCAAGAGGGAGTTTGGTTATACAACTGGTGTATTCAGCATCAGTTGTCTCCACAATTCTGCAGAACATTTTAGCAGACAATTTAAGCAGACACTTTGCAACAGATCATGAGTGGACAATCAAGAACTCGGTAATTTGGATACTCTTCAAGGATTGGGGTCATTTGTCAATTGATCTGTTTGTGACAGATGGGAACAAGTAGTGTCAGATTTTTTGTTACAGGTCAGAGTCCAGGGTTCTTTTCAGACATATTTCTTATTTGATGGTCCCCTGCACTGATGTATGCCTACCCACTAATTCCATTGTTTCCCAGGATACTCAGGAAGATCAGACAAGATGTTACCAAAATCATCCTGATAGCTCATGCCTGGCCAAGGCAGTTTTGATACCTGGAACTGATGCTATTGTAAATATGTCCTCTAAGAACATTACCTATAATTCCAGTCTTGCTATCCCAAAATAATGGGATAGTTTGTCTTTGAACCAATCCTCCCTACATCTTATGGCTTGGCTTCTGGATAGATATCAGAAGTAGAGAGAGAATGTTCCCCATTCTTGAGGTATGGCCTGCATCCCTTGTTCCTATATTTATAACTTTGAATGTGGCTATAGTAAAATTTATTTTGTTTGAATGGAGCCTGCTTACCAAACAAACTTATTTGTTCTGTTTGACTGCTCAGTCCTCATAATTATTTACCAATCTACTAATCTTTGTGTCATCAACAAATTTTATCAGCAATGATTTTTATATTGACATCAGTATCACTGATAAAAATATTGAATGATTTTAGGCCTCAACTGATCCCTGCAGAACAAAAAGTGGTGCCAGGTAGAGCAATGTGACGAATAGGGGGCTGTGTGTGTGATCGCCCAACCATTTCTAAGCAGTGGTCCCATACTAAATCAGTATGGCTGCTGCTGGAGCAATCTGGAATGTTGCTCCAGCTGTGTGGTCACAACACTACTGAAATTTGACCCAGCTGCCCCTTCATACAGATGAAGGGGTAGCCAGGCCAAATTTCAGTGAGTGGTGTTGTGACCTGGTGCACAGTGTTGCAGTGCAACTCAAATTTGGCCTGACTGCCTCTTCATCCAGACAGGGGGGGCAGCCAGTCCAAATGGTTTTGCAGCTTGGCACACAGGGAATCTGTTCTTGGACAGCAGAGCACAGGGAGCGTGCTAAGGACTCAACTTCTGGTGGCACTGGTGGGATAAGAGAGAGGAGAGACTCCCTGCCCAAGGGAGACCCAGGATTCCTGTAGGGGGTGGGGGACAAGCAGGGAACGGAATTCTTCCCCTCCCTCACCCAGCAAGTATCTGAATTGGTGCCACTGCTGCAGAACCCTCCTAGAAAGACCCTCATTTGATGATGATTCCCCAGTGACAACTGCTCTTTGAGATCTGCCAGTTAGCCAGTTCTTAATCTATTTAATGGACCAACTTTGGAGGAAGGAAGAGAACCATAGGAGGAGGGAACTTTGGAGGAAGTGCCTACAGTAGAAGGGAATAAAGAGTCTGTCAGTTTTAAGATATCTTTGAATTATTTTCTTCTTAAAAACGAAACAGAATAAATGAAAATATCCTTATTGTCCATCTTATTACAGTCTGTGATATTGAAAATGAGCAGAACAGTTCTTATTAAATAAGCATCATCATCATGAAATACACACCCCTCTCTCCAAACTGAATTCAAACAGTTTAAGATTCAGGATCAGTTTGTATAAACTTAAGAACCTTCCTACAATTAACTGTAAACAAAAAGTTTGTTCCTGCTCCTGGAGAATTTTGCTGTTGTTCAGTGGGAAGAGGACAGGGATTTTTTTCTGTCTTTGTCCCCTTGCTCAGAGGTGACTGCTGGTCTGTTGGGCTACAGGTACCATACCATTCAGTTCTTGTTCACTCTGTCAGCTAATGTAATCTTTACACATTCATTAATAGTAGCAATAAATGTGCTGCTGACTTCAAATAAAATATTTTCACATTTTAATGTTTGAAAGAAAAATAAGAAAAATAAGTTCATTGTAAAATGTTACATTGGCAGGATGAATTAAACACGTGATAAAAGAGGAATGTTCCAGATTAAGTTTAAAATTCTTATTTTATTAAGCATAACATAAACCACTTTTCTGATCCTCTTTTAAGCTAGTATATAATTTGATCCTTACTTTAAAAATATCATTTAACAAACTGGAGAGCACTCCAGGCTATTTCAAGGATAAGTACCTTTATACCGTGATGATAACATGATGATATGACAATTTAAATACCTCCTTGAGACCTCCCTCTCTCAAAATAGAACTTTTAACTGTTAGTAATCCAATAATATACATCCTGTTTTAGCCAACAAAACTACAATAATCTTTTTCTTCTGTGTTTACTAAGTATCAGAGTGGCTTTTCCTAACACTTATGTCTTTAAAGAAATTAAATGAAAATACGCATTACTAACTAAACTGCTGTGGAAGCCCTGCAGGAATCCCATCAACAAAGAAGCAAGCACTAGAAGTAGAAAGAGCTGGCTGGTTAATCAGAAGAGAAGTCAGCTTGTTGGAGAAGCTGTCATCCTTGAATCTTCAATTGATGGGTCATTTCATCCCCAGCAGGGGCTCCTTGCATGAAGTGTAATTTTTACTCTCACTGTTCAATCAGTATGACAGCTTTGGCTCTAATGTGATGGAAGTTTTGACTCTAGTTTGAATTATTCCTCTGACAGTTCATTAAAAAAAATTCAGAACCAAACAATCAAAAATAAAACAAAATTAAAACATTCTTTTAATTTAAAACGCTGCCTGGCTGTTAGAATTTTACTGTTAATGTACCCAGTGAGGTTATATACATAAGGGTCAAATTCCATAGTTCCTTGTAGTTGCTGTAATTTTTCTGAATAATGTGTCAATTAGTGAGTTTGTTATTCAAAGCTATCCAGACTGTTTTAATACAAAGCATCTACTATAACCTTGAACTATAAACTCTCAAGTCTATATGCCCTCACTATAATTTACTGTATGCTCAAATGATAAATTATAGTTACATTCTGGAATTATATGGTATAATTAAAAGAAATACTTTACAAGTTATGTGTTCCACACGGAGGCATTTTTTACAATTTCAAGAAAATGTTCTGTCTTTTCATTGTTGTTTCCATAAACACTTTTCCATGTGAAAATGTCACTTTGGCAATTTTTCCCCAGTTGAAATTCCTGTGATTTTTTTCTAGCACATAAGAAATTCACATTGGAGCAGACATATCAGGAAATAGTAGTAGCCATGAACATTTAGCAGCCATGAATGGACATAAGAATGGCTATACTGGGTCAGACCAAAGGGCTATCTTCTGACAGTGGCCAATGCCAGGTGCCTCAGAGGGAATGAACAGAACAGGTAATTATCAAGTGATCCATCCCTGTCGCCCATTCCAAGCTTTTGGAAAACAGAGGCTAGGGACACATTGTCTTGTATTATGTTTAGTACTTTTTATTTGTACTACAGTAATTCCTGGAGAGAGGGTTCAGGATTGGGGTCCTCATTGTAATGGTTATTGAACATATACAGAATAAAAGATAATCCCTAGTCCAAAGTACTTACAATTTAAATAGAGACAAATGTGACAGGTCGATGTAGAACACAATGAAAGGGAAAGACAAGGGTGACCATAATATATTTGCTAAGTGTAATTTACACATACTAGGTAAGTGTGGTTTGGAAAATTTCAACTAGAGCTCTTAGGCACTACGATTACAAAGATAAATAAATAATAATAATAATTAATAATTAATAGGATATATGTGGTAGAGAGCTAAATATTAATGGGGATATAACTCCCTTAGAAGATGAATTGGATATTTGTGGTTGATGCAAGGAAAGGGAAGTGCCAGAGATATTCAGAGCAGAGCAGCTTTTTGGGAGAAGACTGTGGACAACAATGCAAGTCACATTTCATACATACAGACAGTGCTGCTGAGTGGCTTGCTGTGTCTCATTACAGTTAAGGTGCCACCAGAGTAATTCAGGAAACCGCAGAACTCTTCATCTGCAG